ATAACCTGTTTTATTTAATAAAATTTTGAATATTACAATATGCTACATTATGTGTGATTACTTGACCTTATCTCATACCAGAAGTCAACATGAAATATATCTCATTCCCTTTATTGTTGTTCTTATGTATGTTTTGGAAGAGATCATATGGATGACGATATTGTTAATATTAGGTCTTAGTGTGTTTATGAGTGAAACACTTATTAGATGTGACTTTAGGGTTCATATTTTAGGTTTTATTATTCTATTTACTTGGTTTATTTCATCTTGCTTAAATGATATTAGTCATTAGATTTTGTTTTATTTTGGACATGCACTATGATCTAGTCATTATCTTAAAAGTCATTATCTTAAAGACATTTATGTTTTGAACTTATTCTATAATCTTTTATCCTTAGAGGCATTTGATGAACTATTTATTTATTTTAATTAAGTTTTATTCATACAAATTTATTTTATTTCATTAATATTTATGAGTATGAGTATACGAAATAAAGAATATCACAATTATTATTATTAGTTCCAAATATATATAATTTATTGTCATTAATTCGAAAATAATACAACATAATATTCAAAGTGTTTAAAGATTAAAATGACAATAAATTATATTATTTATGAACTAAAATAATAATAAATTGTATAAGTTAGAAATTTAAATATTAATATTTATTTGAATAATCTTTCTATATTATTTTGATGCATATATTTCATTGTTATTTTAGTCCCAATAATGTGTCATGGATTATTATTATAACATCGCACAAAATCAAAGACTAAAGTGGTAATTTAGTCTATAGATTGAACAAGTGGCCATTCATTATATACGTATTCTCCTCAATCCTCATGTGAGGAAAATATATAGGAGCTACTCTATTGCCACCATCTAAGTACATGGAGTGTTACACAACACTTCTGAAGACGATGATTATCATGTGGTCATGGTTTTATTTCTACGTTTTCCCCAACTTACTACGTACTACTACTCATCAAAAGAGGCCATAAACTCACCATAATGCCACCCTTATCCCATAATCGAAATTTCATCATTGAGAAATTTCGTAATTTTTCCAACAATAATGTTATAAAGATCGTAAAATATTTAAAGTGTTATTCATACAATAAAAAAATATTTTAATATCTTAAAAATTATGAAAATAACTAATATTTAAATAATATCATATGGTAATTATTAGAATGAAAATTAAATATGAATTATGGTGTATTAGTAGAGGAGGGTTACAAGAACATATATTATATAGTAGTTTGTGATACAGTTCAGAAAAAAAAAAAATCCTAACTCACCATAACAGTAAATTAAATTAACTATCTTATTTTGTTAGTAATTAAAGTAGTGCTTAAAAAAACAATATAATTAATTCATGTATTATTAATTTAATTATTTTGACCCTCCAAATACTCAGCATCAAGAGACACCTACATGCGAAGAAACTTATGCTTTACATGTCTCCAAGAAGTTAAAACTTAAAATTACGGATTTAATTAGAATGTTTTAATACAAGTGAGAATAAAAGGAATAATTAACATATTAATATACAAGTTAGCATAATAAAATAAAAGGTAATTATTATAATAGCTGTTAGTTTAAGTTGACCGGAATCACCGGATATAGTAAGATCATTAGTGGGTGGAGATTTAATTACATGATTTATAAATTATAAGAATTTTTTAAAAGTTTTTTTTAATTATAATGGGCTAATTAAAAATTTGAAAAAACTATAAGGATTTATGAATTAATTTAATCTAATTTATATTATGTTTTTACTAATATATTGTTGATGTATTTAAAAATTAAGGATTAAAAAGATTTATGATCATAATAAGAAATATTACATATAGTCATATATTAAAAAAATGTCATTATAAATATAATATATTTAAGTATAAATTTATTTGATATATATTCACATATAATTTTAGTATTGATTTTGAATGAGATTCAATAATATATTTTATGTGTTATTATAATATATATTTACACATTTTAACAATATACCAATATATAATATATGTAAGTATAAACATATTTAGTATTAATTTTGAATGAAATTCAACAATATATTTTATGTATTATTATAATCTAATTATAACCTATATTTACACATTTTAACAATGTATCAATATTATTATTATATATATATATATACAATATAGATAAAAAAATAATATTTATTGACAAATATTATGTCACTTTAAAATGTATATTATTACATAACAATTTTTTATAATTAATTTTAATACTAAAATATGTACAAAATCGTAAGTTTAAAAAGTGTTGTAATCTTTATAATTCTTACTAGTAAAAGAAATACGTTTTCGACAAATTTAGACCTTCCCTTCTTTATTAAAATTGTGTGGTATTTTTGGTTAATTAACACACTATATAGATATAATAAGTTAATAACAATAACCCTTTAATTTCTAATTATTATTAGAAATGATGTCTCTTAATGCATATTAACTTTCAACCTTAATTTCATCTTCTTACTATATGGTTATTACACAGTGCTGAAATCTCTCAGTACATATTAACTCACACAATCTTTCATCTTCAAACATTTATTCACGACCCTTTAATTTCTAATTATTATTTGTAACATCATTATTTTAGGATGGGAACAACTCGCAGAGGTTGTGCCTTATGTAAGGTAAGCCCAAATATCTCAGACATGTCTATGTCCTGGGGCTTTATCCCATCAGCAAGCTTCCAATCATAGTTGTATAAAAGAGAGGCCAACGTAACATGCACAGTCCTAAAAGCAAATGGCAATCCAGGACAAATTCTTCTTCCAGCTCCAAAGGGTATTAACTCTAAATGCTGACCTTTAAAGTTAGTGTCAGTGTCCAAGAACCTTTCAGGTAAAAATTGATTTGGATTTGTCCAAATACTTGAATCTCTTCCCATGGCCCATACATTAACCATAATTTGTGCACTTTTAGGCACCATGAAGCCACCTATTTCAGCATCAATATCTGACTTACGTGGCAATAATAATGGGGCTGGTGGGTGCATGCGGAAGGTTTCTTTCACAACTGCTTGCAGGTAAGGAAGCTTTGAGATGTGTGATTCTTCAATATGTTCACCATTGGTGAGGATATGTTCAAACTCTTGTTTAACCTTTTCTAGTTTCTCCGGATTACGTAACAACTCTGTCATTGCCCATTCAACTGTGCTTGATGTTGTGTCTGCTCCCGCCACAAATAAATCCTAACATGACCAACAAATGAAAACAAACCAAAAAGATGGATAACATGAAATATCAGTAAGATTTACTGATATAAACTGAGAATGGAGATTTTGTGTAGCGATGAAGGCAATTTAATTCTTAGCTTATAAACTATTTTTTTTTTAGATATATCGAGTTTGACCCTTACATTATAAGATCGACAAAAATCAAATTTTACCTTTTTATTATAAGGTAATAAAACCTTATACTTTCATTCAACATTGTATGATATATATTTTCTAGGGAGTGATTGCTCTTACTTTTATCAGCTGTAGGCAAAACTTTATATTCGTATGCCCGTTAGTTATTTAGGTACACGTATCTAAATTTTGTACCAAACTACAAGAACTTTTTTTTTTCTTTTTTTTCTTAATCTTCTTATATATTGATACTATAAAGTAACTCGGATAAATGCCGTTAAATTTTGACTTCGCCAAAGTTGATCATTTTCTACTTCTACAATAATGGAGGTGTAATGTACTCACTCCCTCATTGTACAGCCAGAGTTATCGGGTGTTTACATTAAAATTTATTTTTAAAGTAAGTAGATTTCATATATATATATAGAGAGAGATTTACTTGTTATAAATATAAGTGTATTTAAACTTACTTCATTATATTAAATTTTTACAATTTAGTTATTAAATTAAAAGTTTTTAATGCATACATTAAGTCTGTAAAAATTTTAAAAATTTAAAAACTATTTGATACTATATTTCATCAATTTAAATTGACGGATAATTATAAAAATATTTTATGTGTTTATTTGAATTAATGAAACAGAATATCAATTTTTTTAAAAATTTTGTAGACTTGATTTATGTATTATTATATTTTAATTCAAGAGTTAGATTGTTAAAATTTAATATAAAATAATACTCTTGAGTAAAATGATAACTCCTCACACATATACACACACATAAAAAAAATAGTCATTAAAGTATTTAATATAAAATATGGTTAAAATATTTTTTTAGTTCTTATAGTTTCTTTTATTTTACCTTTTAGTCTCTATAATTTAAAATAAATCATTTTAATCCTTTTACTTATTTTTTTAATCTTTTTTAGTCCTTATAATTTAAAATAAATCTTTTTAGTTCTTATAGTTATAATTTTTTAATATTTTTAGTCTTTATTGTTAATTCAAATTTTTATGTTTGAAATATTTGAATTTATTTTGTTAAAATTAATTTAAATTAAGTATTTCGATGCATTATGTCTCTTTGTTACTCTCATTTATGACACTCGTTGTTGAGACACCTTTTTTTTATTAACAAAATTGAAATTGAAGACCTCTATTAACACAAAACAAATCTCATTAAAAAAAGTAACGATAGAGACTAAAAAAATATTTAAAAAATTCAATATATGAACTAAAAAAATCTAAACCATAATAACTAAAAAAGATTGAAAAAGATAAATATAGAAACTAAAAATGTCTATTCTAAATTATATAGACTAAAAAATAAAGTAAGTAAAATTATAAGGACTAAAAAATCATTTTAACTATAAAATATTTTTAAATCAGTATTTTTGTACTCGTCTCTAATAAAATCCTCTATATAATTTTTTCCTTGTGAAGTAAGATATGATATATTTTTCTTTTGACTGATACCATCTAATTTTATTAAAGAAATAGACATGGTAACATACTTTAATTTATATATATTCTTTATGTTTAGTATTGAGTTTATGCACACATAACTTTATATTAATATGATATTGTTCATTTTAATTTAATTAGATCAATAAGTCAATATAATTAAATTTATTTTTTTAAAAAAAATAAATATTTTATAATAGATTTGAATTAATTGATATTTTATTATAAATATAATATTATTAACCTATAAAACAAACAATGATATAATTAAATTTCAAGATAAAATTATTGATTTATTAGACTATTATCAACCCAAATAATTAACATAAATATTATATATATAT